TCAGTCCGTTCTTTTAATGTGTCTTCGGATCGTTTCTTATTTCTCTATCTCATCGACTTTTTAATCAGCCCTCTCGATTCAGAACTCGAGCGAGGGAGAAATCTGACACTTCTGCAGACTGTTCCCAACGATCCCCGATGCGCATACCGTATTAAATGTTGCGCGCTACGCATAATCTGTCTTTTCTACCTTTTCTAATCTGGTACTCGTCGTCGTGCGTTCACCCGTCTGGTGCGATATTCTCGCTACAGATTCAATTAGAGTGTGCTCCTTCGGTACATAAACATTACTTGCGCGTACATCAGCGCGTATACGTGTGCCACTCGAGAAGAAATATAGAAAGAGACGCGACTACGCGTCCCACATACCTTTACGAATGACGTTGCAGTAACGAAAGGCGCGCATTTTTCACGATAAAGGCGTATGACAGTCGCGTTTGACGTGTCTTGCACGTACGATATCTCTGGATATCTATCAAGATGCGTCATCGTTAACTAATCAATTTATTTTATTTATTTTTAAAGCAACAATTCTTCAGATATTTACTCCGATATTTCACCCGGGCAAGCGATACAAATTATTCCATAGGATATATGATATATAATTCAAATACTATTTCGGTGCAGAAATCTCTGCAAAAGAGACATTCGGTGGCAACTGATACGCAATAACAGGCGCATATCCGCGATTTCCTATTCTCTCTTTACTCCCTTTTCTCAGCACACATTTATCTCCATCTGCGTGCGTGCACTTTTGAACGCACGTCGGAGCTCTCTCGCGATAAGGTACCATTTCACGTGCAGCGTACTGTCGCAGCAGTCTGTTGCTATTGGTGAAGTTCAATTGAACGAACGGCAAAGACAGCAAAGCAGAAGAACACGCAACTAGTTGACTCTAATTATTATTATATTATTATATTAGTTAAACAATGGATTTTAAGAATAAAATAGATTAGTACGAGAATATAAAAGCAAAAATCATAATTTTAACTTTGAAATAATAAAAGACCGAAGAAATATGCTCTAATAAATTTTGATCACGTGACTAATTTGCTGCTATGTAACATGCTGCGTATGATAAAGTACCATTTCATGTGCAGCATACTGTTGCTATTGGTGAAGTTCAATTGAACGAACGGCAAAGACAGCAAAGCAAAAGAACACGCAACTAGTTGACTCTAATTATTATTATTATTATTATTATTAGTACAAGAATATAAAAGCAAAAATCATAATTTTAACTTTGAAATAATAAGAGACCGAAGAAATATGCTCTAATAAATTTTGATCACGTGACTAATTTGCTGCTATGTAACATGCTGCGTATGATAAAGTACCATTTCATGTGCAGCATACTGTTGCTATTGGTGAAGTTCAATTGAACGAACGGCAAAGACAGCAAAGCAAAAGAACACGCAACTAGTTGACTCTAATTATTATTATTATTATTATTATTAGTACAAGAATATAAAAGCAAAAATCATAATTTTAACTTTGAAATAATAAGAGACCGAAGAAATATGCTCTAATAAATTTTGATCACGTGACTAATTTGCTGCTATGTAACATGCTGCGTATGATAAAGTACCATTTCATGTGCAGCATACTGTTGCTATTGGTGAAGTTCAATTGAACGAACGGCAAAGACAGCAAAGCAGAAGAACACGCAACTAGTTGACTCTAATTATTATTATTATTATTATTATTAGTACAAGAATATAAAAGCAAAAATCATAATTTTAACTTTGAAATAATAAGAGACCGAAGAAATATGCTCTAATAAATTTTGATCACGTGACCGATTTGCTGCTGCAGCATGCTGCGTATGAAAAGACGCCTATATACGCAATAATGCACGAAGCAGGCGAAGGCAGCAGCGGCAGGGCAGAATGATACGAGTGTATCGGGCACCTCGCTCCCACACTCGTCCGCACGACGATGAATACTGGCGCTTTATCTCCCGATATATACCCTCATACTCGCGTCTCTCTTTCCGCCCGTGTGTGCGGTACGCTCTCCCTCGCCTGTTTTCGCTCCTTTTCTCTTTACGGTCCTCCGCGTTCGTCGGTCCAAAGAGAGGCGAAGGTGGAGGCTAATCACCACGCAATCACCGCTCCTGGTGCGGCCGGGACTCCGATCCGTTCCCAGAAAGCAGCAACCGCCTTTTGCCGCCCCGAGGGCATTCACCACCGCGGTACCGGTGCTGCAAAACCAACAATCTTCGTCCTGTGCCGCGGAAAAAAAGAGCATTCGCTCTGTTCTCCCCGTTTCCCGCCCCCTTTTCGCCAAATCACCGGAGGGCCGAGAAGAAGAGCTGATCGGCCGGACTACTGGCATCCGGGGAATCCATCGCGGAGAATAGCCGCGATTCCGCTCCACGGCGGTGCCTATATCGAGGGACGAGGAAGGCATGCATTAAATCCGCGGAGGCAACTACTCCGTCGACACGACACTGCCCGGAATGCGAATGGTTGAAAAGAAGTATATTTTGGGATAATTTCACCGTATGAATGATGGACGTTTTGTTCTGAAGCGTGTTTCGAATCGATATTATCGTGTGTAATGAGAGTGTATAGTAAGAACAGGATGGAGGCGCCTCCTCGAATAATTGCACGTGGTGAAATCCTATAGAGGAATAACGTGGTTCTTGCGTGCGATTTAGTGGCCCATAGGTGGAGCGCGATTACAGGGATATTATACCAGAAAATAATGTATTGCATTTTTTAATTTTTTCCCTTTTTTTTGCGGAGCTTAACTTTGTTTTCACGATGCATTAATTTTATATTAATTATGATCGATCGTCAATTTTATGCCAGGAGCTTATTTACAATTATTATTTTTAAAAGTAATTACTTTTCACTCTAACATAAAATAGCCAAGTATCGAGAAACACATAAAATAATGTAGACATAATTTTTAGGTTTAGCGATTAGTTGATTTACAAATTTTTTTATTAATTATCTTATTTGTGACACCCAATTCTTAAGCATACATATATTTTACCGATATAAATCTCGCTGAAGCGAAATTAAATCGTAGCCTGTCAAAAGCAAGTAATTTCGCGAGAATATTTTGTAGCTGTCTACCCTTAGATATACGAGATAATAAACGCAAGAAATCGGTAAGTAAGAACGTAAATTGATATAGTTGGGGGCGATGGTCGTTAGGGAGTGTATATAATATTGGATGCTTCTTTAGTTCACGGCCCACGCGATGTAGCCGACAATACAGGATGCTTGAAACTGCTTGGGGCGATTCCGGAAGAAAAGGCGTGAGTTTACGATAAGATACACAACAACGCACGACTGGCTTCCTGCAGTGTTTTGCGCTAACGGGCTAATTGAATTGGGACTTGCTACCCCGTCCAGATTAATTCGATGTCGCGTAAAAATGTACGAGATAATCTCAAATTCTCGAATTTAAATTGTCTCATTACTTTAATTACTATAAAAAGATATTCGCAACTAATTGAAATATCAACTAACAATAAGATTAACTCTTATTCGAACTCATCTATTAAAAAGTAATAAATCAGATAATTGCAACTGCATATAAACAGATATTATTTTTATGTGTTTTGTCCTAAAAAAAGTATTAAGATATTTTTTCAAATCTAATTCATACGAGCCTGATGTATCTCATTTTAGTCATTTTACCACTTTTTTTATTTTGAAGTGGCAATGACAAAAAGTGTGAACAAGCTGCGATACTATTTCAAACTATCGTTGACACGTCAATTATTCGCGCGTGTGCGCTTTCGTCAGCGCAATGATTGTGCCATGCACGTTAGTTCACGCGTGACCGACGTGCGAATTGTCGACGAACTATCGCATCGAATTGCCATCACGCCTCGCATCCGAGCGAGCGCGAATATCGTCATCTCAAATGGATTTACACGTGATTTTCTGTGGGCACGCACGAACTATTAACCCGCGTTAATTGCCCACGCATACTGGTCCATAAAGTCTTTGTCGGTCTTTACAGCGCTACTATACCTATACAATACCGATGTTAGATTTCGCGAATATGCTGAATGTCATTGATCGAAGAATTGATTCAATGCAATGCGCTTTACGTAATGCTAAGTATTATACGATACCGATTTTATTCGAGATTTAACAATACGCGTGGGAAAACAAAAATATGGTATTCTTTTCATCGAGATATTCTCCTCTTTCTCTTAAACAGATTAGGAATTAATTTTTTTCCTTTTTTTAACTTCTCGCTCTTTTAATAAAGCTATTATTGTTCTGAGACTTAGAAGAAATTTAATCCACCTATTATCACGTATCGTTTTCTCTCGGCTATTAACACAAGCGTTGCGAAATCGCGCGCGAAAAAATTTGGGAGAATCCATTCCGAAGTAAATTTGCGGCGTGTCGTATTACGACGAGAGATGTTAACTGTGACGTTTAATTATGCAATAAATCTTGGTTTTCCGATTTGCAATCCATTTCCTATTGCGGGGGCGGCAATTGGTCGCTGTTAAATTGACGCGTAGGTGCGATATGGTTAGGTATGGTGGATACCTACGTATTCATATAGGTATGCCGAGTGTGAAAGTCGGAAGGATCTCCATCCCTCTCTTTCTCTCTTCACGTGCGTTTGTTACTCTTGTTGTGTAAAATAGCGCGCGACCTTTCTTCAATCCGTTGACTTTATAGGCTTTAGCGAATTATCTTACAACCAATTGAATGTGTGTGAACTTTGATAAATATAAATATCATTTTATGTTATACATATATATTTATATATCCAGTTATGTATTTATTACCTACAACTATATAATACGTAATATCTCAATTTGCCAATCATTAAATTAAAATAAATATATAATAAAAAGTAAATAAATTAAATTAAATGCCATGTGTGCAATATATTTTTCTATGTATACAACGCGCAAATAGAAAAAGAGAGCAAATTTCCATAATTTTAGTTTTACTTGAAACGTTAATGTTTCTTGAAACCATTTCTCTGACAAAAGTCTACTTTTGATTGCAGATTCGATTGCAAATTCGGTGGCACGAATATTTTCGTACATAGCTATTCTCTTCTTGATCCTGGGGAAGCTGAATGTGAACTGGAGGGTCACAGCGATGTGCGAGCAACCTTCTTCTGTGGAGTGCAACCCTACAGAACCCTGCATCACGGAACCCTGGCTACAGCCTTGCGGCACTACACTAACGAGCGTGGCGACGAATCTGCAGCAGCAGCGACATAGCGTGCACAGCTTCTTGAAGAAAGTGCGAATGAAGATGCGAGTCGCGCGATACTCCTACCAATGTTTCAAAAATGAGAGGAAGGTGAGAAAGAGGAGAAAGAGAGAGAGAGAGAGAGAGAGAGCGCGCGCACTTCACTTCTCGCGAGCGATTCCGCAATTAATTGCAGCGCAGCATCGAGCATCGGGGTAAAATCGCGTGGGCAGTCAATCGCTCGAGGGGGACTCGCACGTGCTCACAATGCAGCATCGAGCATCGGGCGTGTCAATCGCTCGAGGGGGACACTCGCACGTGCTCACAATGCAACACGTCTCCCGTCTCTGTGGTGTGCACAATCCTACTTTCCGTCGGCAATTTGCATTGGTTACGGTGTGTGCCACGCATATCCAGCATAATTACTTTTTCCAGAGTCTCGCGCCGCGCCGCGTCTTTTATCTCTTATACTTGTTGACAAATTGCTTCCATCGTGTTACAAAACGAACGCGCATATATTCGATAAAAATATCGTCGATACTATTAGATTAGTACTATTAAATTATTTGTAATATCGCTCTGATGAGAATCTCGTAGAACGGCATGCATTTATATGGATTTATATAAGAGGCTTTACTTTTTATAACGCGCCGTTTAACAAGGTGACAGACCATCTATTAGAGCGAGTTTATTTCAGCAGATTGCGACTTGGATAAAGCAATATATTTTGTTTTTTCGATTTTTTATCACTTTGAAGATTATGCTGGGATATGTGTGATCGCATTCCGAGATACAGATTTGTGATACCGTGGTTTCTGATACTGTTTAGAACGGCATATAAATATTCAGATTTAATCATGTCCCCCCATCGCAAGATTAACGCCAGAATTAAGAATTACTTATATCCACAAATGTCATACCGGATACCCATTAAATAATTCATAAACATATAATAATCACTATTTATTGAATTTATAGAATATATAATTTGCACAGTAGTAAATTTTATATATATACTTTACACGATAAAACAAAATATAAAAAAAAATTATACTTGTGACACAAATAATCGATAAAATGTATTTCTTATTAGATTTTATTATTTGAAAAAATTTGTTACGTTAAAAGATATCCGGGATGATGTAATTAAACCAGATATGTTTAAATTAAAATATATTATTTTATCTTTTTACAGGGAATCTACAAAAATGCTGTAGCTTTGCATGGCAGGAACAAATTTAATTGGTTACCCTCAAAGGAACTCATGTGGTATTGTCATGACGTTTCATGCCTTCTAGACAAGGAGAAAAAAGCTCAACGTATTCTTCCACGTTTATACGATGATCTTCAAAGGTTAGCCATTACGTTTCATGAGCTTGGAAAATTTCATCTCAACTCAAGTGTCGATGCCACTGGAATCATACACATTCGGAACTGGATGATTAACGTAACATTTAATCAGATCCTTCAGGTAAAGAGCTGTGGCATATTACTTACTCTAACAAGATTTATGTCAACACCTTTGGTATTAATTGAAATTTGCATTTCCATCGCGCGGTAGACTCTCTCATAAATTAATCGTTTAACAAGCATAAGATATAAACTTTTATTATTCCGATTATGCATTGAATTTATAAACCTTGTGAATGTGTTTTGCGAGTAAGAATGCAAACTTGGAAAATTAATACCTTGTTTATATCATTGCAGATGCTGTGCGAAGTCGAGAACGGCATGTATAATTTGCAAATTGATATCCCTCCTCCGAAAAATAGAGCGATTATAACATCTAAATTCTGGAGTAAAGAGGGAGATGTAACTCAAATGTTGATTCAAGATTCGGGAGTGTTAAAGATCTACAGGACTTTCTTGCTTAATTGGAAATTAATAATGCTCCATGTTTTAAATTCGCCGAAATTCAACTCTTGCAAAACTAAATTCCACAGCGAAGCGCAAATAAAAAAACTTAAAAGACGGTGTTTTCTCGAGAGAAAACGTAAAAATTCGTTGAAAAGGAGAATTCAAATGATAAGAAAACAGAGTGAGCTATAAAATAGTTCCTTTATCGAATATCAAAGAGCGAAGTAACTAAATTAAATTTAATTAATTAAGGAATAATTAAAATCTGTAAAAATGAGTATACATTACATTTCGAATCTGTTGAATCTTTGCGATTTAAAAAAGGACTCTTAAGCAATACGAAGCTAAGACATTTATATGTAGGGCCATTTTTCTATGTTTCTCTTTATATTTAATATCGACAAGATCTGCTGATCGTTTAAAGATACATCGCTCTTTACAGCATCGAACATATATTTATGTATATCATACTAACATAACTTTGATATTTATTCCATCGTCGCTATCATTCATTCAGAGATATAGTTTTACTCGTTTAATATTCTGTAAGTTTCGTCAATAGAGAATCGTGCCTGATATTGTATTAAGATTAGATATCTCAACAGAGCCGTGAAGAACATTTGCTTAATTTGATAAATATCTTTCCAGTAATGTCGGATCAACAAGTCCTGATTATGATAATACTAAAGTATATTTTATATACACGGCATACTCGCAGACCGCAGTATTAAAAGATCTACTTCAGAACAGTATTATATATCTAATAACATGCAGAATATATACCGACGTGGAGTTAACATTGATAAAAATGTTTCGAAATACCAGTGCATATTCTTGAATCGAGATAGATTCATGAAATATCGGTCTAATAAATTAACAGCCGTGGCTAAGTGCACCTGAAACTCGTAATCGTATCGTGCGTGTGCAAAAGGCATATCAAAAGCTCATTTTCATTCTTAGGCACTCAACTATCCGAAGACAACAAAAAAAAAAAAAAAAAATAGAAATGCATATCAGAAATAAGGAGAAAGAGATAAATTTACAAACACATTTTTCGATTGGTCGTCTCGCGCATGATATTTATATCGATATGCTAACGTAGATTATAAAGCTCACGATCAAAACGGTTTGTCATACGGACACACGAGACTCGACTTAAAATCGACGAAATCTGCGATATACAGATAGGATATATGCAGATAGCAAGTGTGAGAGGACGAGTTTTTAGGCTGTTCGTGAAACCTATTTATTCTAGTTTTACCTAGCATACCTAAGCAGATGGCGAGCTTAATATTGTTTAGCTGTGATATCCCGAGTGTACGCGGACGTACAGAGTTCCTACGTTTATACATAGACGAATATATGTGTGCGCATATATACATATATAAATATAACGTGATATGTACTGACACGTATTTAGACGTAGACTCTCCTCTTTTTTTTCGATGTGTTTACCGTAGAATCTCGCCTCGTCGTGCGAACATGACAATTTTATCTTTTATAGTTAATCCGTTATGACCGTAGACGCATGTAGACGAAACGAGAAACGTTTTAGCGGAGTCAAAGTCCGAGGATTTTGAATTTTTTTCCGGCTTCATGATTTCTTTCGTCACGCTTTAGATCAGAAAGCGTTCGTCAAAAGCGATGACAAATGATTATTATGAATTTTAAGAGAATCGTTTGAGCGTCTTATTTAGAGTTTTTCCTGAGCACCAGCACGTATGACAAGATCGTTTGCAATAGGTTAAGATATATTTATATTTATATGTAAATCTGATGTTTTTTTATACTAAAACGATACTTAAGTATGTTATTATATCTTAGCGTTACACATAATTTTGTTGAATACGTGTCGCGACTCAAATTACTCGTAGACGTGCACTTAAAACTCTTAAGTATACATTATGCATTTTATCCAGTATAGAGATACGTAGTGTATTTATTCGTTCGGTTGTATATGCATACTTATATACATACAGCGTTCTGTTTATACAGTGTTCTGTTTACACAGCGTTCTATTTATTGTATACACCACGTTACCATTGCATATACTATTTATTGTCATTCTTATATGTAATCGTCTCGAATAAACCCCGTCTTTTGTATCGAACTGAAGTTTAGATAATAGAGATACCTTAATAATTCACATAATAATTTAATTTAGCGATGTAAAAATGCTCCTTTTACATGAATTACATGAATGTGCAAAAGCGAACATTTGACCGGAAGTACTAGGAGTACATGAAGGATCCCCGTTCCGTTTAGCAAGCTCGGTCATTTATCTACATAATGTATAATGCAAAGAAAAATAATGTGTGTATAGGTAAGAGAATATCATTATTTAATTAATTTAATAAATATGATTCTCTCTGTCTTTCATCGCAGTAAAGCGATATTTAAATAATATTTTAAGTCGCAGTTGATTAAATAAGTAATATGTAATATTAGTAACGCTAATTTTTTGTAACTGCCATTAAATATTTACTGCCATTTAATATTTAGTGTGTACATGCCATAAATATTGCAAAACTGCAATTTTATTACTCTTTGCACAAAGTGATACAAAATTATCTTCATTTTTATATAACAGTGTTATATCAAAGAAAAGCTGTTTAGCACTATCCTAGATAAGGATGGACATTTTTATGACATGTTTATTACAAAATATATTCAGCGGTATTTTATTTTAAGAATAACAGAACTGTAATTATAATAATGACAGCTGCCACACTATTGTGAATTTTTAAGTAACTGTTTTATCGAAAGCTTTAAAGTTATACATCTAATATACATACGTTGTACTAAATTATTATTTTTCTGTAAGTTAAAGTGATCAGGTCAACATCATAGCACAGCTTCATTATCTATAGGAAGATTTCCCAGACGCATCAAATATTGTAATAGGAGTACACGAAGAGTGAATAGGTTGTAATCGCTCTTCATTGCACTTTGCGTTTGTATAAAAATTAAATGTATCTACTATAATTTAATTACGAGGCTACTGGAATTAATAAATTGCTCGTTACGTAAAATGCATAAAATCGCTAAAATATCTGTCTTCTTAATTCAATCTATTTACTTAAATACTAATATACTCCAGTGATTAATTTAATAAATTATAAATGTTTAAGTTACAACATAATTTTATACAATATGTGATTATTCAGAAATTATCTACGATAATGAATATATCTACATATTGTTTTATTATTGAGAATGGATATACTTATTATTTTCTTTTATCTTCGTCGATTATAACTCATAATATTATATTTAATTTCACATTGTATATTATAAAAGTTTTAATTTCAATATATTTTTTAAATAGTAATTTTTTATTAAAAATATATTATTATATAAACAACATTAATTTATTCGAACATATGGATTATTCTAACAAATTTTAGATGAAATGCGTACGCTATGTGTAATGCGCTTCTGCGTTTGAATCAGGCCATTATTTATTTTCCTTCGATCGTATGTACACTCGCGAAATAATACGTCACGACGCGTCGTAACTTAATCGGGCGTGAGAAAGATTCTAATCTTAGTTCGGTGAATTCAACGATCTAATTATAATATCGCCTTTTATGGCGTATCCTTTACGATCATGTATGTACATACGTATACGTCAACGTACGTTCGAGACATTACGTCTACTTCATTCAAAAGTTTTTGTCACCATCTTCTTCGTGCTTCGACGGGAAAGAATTGACCTTCTGACGTCAAAATTCCTTAATTATTTGCCATCAGAAGACGAGTTAGATATTGGTTGCACATGCAAGATGAAAATGCATAATCATTTTATTTTTTATAAATTAGTGAAATATATTATCAATATGTTTTAGCAAAAAAAAATACATAGCAATTTATCAAATACAAAAAGCAAAAAAATACATAGTATTTGTCAAATTTTTCAATAAGAGAGATTTTATATTTTTTTATCTCTATAATAAATTTACAATTATTTGGAATATATGTACATTGAATTTTTCAGAATTATATCTCAAATAAATAGCGCAATAATAGCTTAACGTTAAGAAATCATAATAAATAAAATAGCCAAAAAGAAGTCGATGTCTGCTGTTATAAATATTTTTCAGTCTCATTCTTTTCGGGTTTTTTTTCGAAGTATAGCTACGCAAATTATTCATCTTCTAACAGAAATAATTCTTTTAAGTTAATAAAGAGAGATGTACCGACGAATCTTTAACAATTCGACGACGCTTGGCTTTCCCATTTGATTCATAATGCAAATACAACAGTATTTACGTTTGAATAGCGCATGTGCACATTCAAAAGATTTCGCGTATTTCCGACGCGCATGCAGATGCCATAAATGCATGACGATAGGTACCGTTCATGTTTCGAGGAAAATCGGAACATCTATATATGTGGGCGAGATTTGCAAAGCATAGCCAATAGATATCATTACTAAATCTAAATGAATACGTCACTTAGATAAATTTAGATGCAGAATATTTAATGTGAATGTAAATTCATTGATTAAAATAAACATTCATATAATAATACACACTCTATTGTTCAAGGTAAGATATAAAAAAATTGTGATTCTAAATTTATTTCAAATTTACTTCAAAAAATTTAATATTAAGTATGTTAAGTATATATTAAAAAAAATTTTATATTATTAATTGAAAAATACATTTGTACGCTTAAATGTCTATACGATCGATCATTAAGCATAAGAAAATCATATTGCGTATCGGTATGATGACTTAAAAATATTTGAAAAAGTGTCTCTGTTTTAGTGACGAAGGCTCGCCTATAATTTTCTGGGGTTTCACCGGTTAAGCAGTAAAAAGTTGCTGACAAAACTTTTGCCGCAACCCCACCGTCTCTCCGTATGAGACGTCGAACATGCGTGCGTACGTTCGATTGTTTACACAATCCTATATATAAAGAGAAAGAACGAGAGTTTGACAATCTCAGTTCACGATCTCATATCAATCGAGAACATTGTTCAGTGCCTTATCACGCATATCTTACAAGTGGATTGGACGAGATCGTCATTGAACATTAAAGATTAACCGCAAGACATTCGCGATAATAAATTTAAACATGTTTATCAAAAAAGTTTGCTTCATCTCGGTTATCTTCGCCGTCACTTCCGCCGCTCCAAGAAGAACTTCCAGATCGACGGTACCAATATGGCATGTACCATGTGGCGAAGATCCCAACCTGGAGGCTATTTCATCGGAGAATTTGGAGGAAGAGATCAAATCCAATCTCGAGAGTCTCAAATTGCAGCATCAGCTGACTCTGAGTGATTACTTGAATCGCGACTACGATTACTTGTACGAGAGAGTTAGAATCGGCATACACGATTATCAATACATACCCAACTGGCTGCCCAGCAAGAAGGACATGAATCTTGTGAGAAGACTGGCTAATGCTAATTCTCAAACGGTAAGTGTAATCGCTCAATTAGTTATTGCTCTTTAACATTGTAGATATTTCGAATCGCGATTTAAGCTTCCCACTATTAAGCGTTTCGAACTGCAATTTATTCTGTCATCGAGTATCTTTAGTATCAACACGTTGCACAAATTATAATTATATATTGTATAAATAAAGAGATCGTAATCGCGGAACTCTCGTTGAAAGTTATTGTACAAACTTTTTGAAAGTGAACTTAATTTCTAATTAACATCTTGAAGCTGTTACGCGACATTTCGATATTATACTTTATCATTACAATTTTTCGGCTACGTCAACATACTCCCGGATGTTCTCGTCACGCGGATTTCCTCATCATCGCTTACATATCTCGTTAGGTCGTTAGTTTCTTCTTGATCATTAATATTCATCGTTTGTCACCGTCGTTACCGTGTAGCAGAAATGAAAGAGCAACCCGAGTGCGGAGGAGCCGTATCGCATGCGAGTGAAAGATAAATAGCGAGAGCGCGCGGAAAAGAGAGAGCAATGTTGCAGAGAGACCACCGTCGCGTTTTCAAACCGGCCGGCCCGCTGACCACCCGGTTGCAATTGATTAACGCAACGTTAAATAACAAATTTTAATGAGACGGTAATTATTATAAAGTAGCAGGCGAACAGGAGCAAGCGCGGTCTTTCTTCCGTGCAGTGCGCGCGCAACGCGACCGTACGTATGCACTCATGTTCGCCGGGTCGCGCGGCTGCGTAATCGCGCTTGTCTGCCTCCTCGATGCAAGCACGCTGATAACGCAGACTGATATCGCGACCCGCGGTACTCCCCAGATACCGGGCACGCAGTCTCCTTCCCGCTCTTTTTCTCTCTCTCTTTCTCTCTGCCACGCCCCGATCACCGGACTACATTGATCCGCAGAGTTGCATTTTGTTGTGATTTTAATTGCTTCGGGAGATTAAATTTTATGCAGCTCTCAGACGTTTCGCAACGATGAATGAATTGATAACTTAACCGAGAAAAAAAATTAAATTTTATCGATCGCGCAATAATTATATTATTCTTACACGTTATCAATCTGTTTTAAGAAATAGCCATTAGATAAAATAATTATAAAAATTGTTTATACTGTATAATATATTTATATATTATAGATAAAATAATTATAAAAATTATATTAATTGTTTATACTGTATTATATATTTATATAATATATTATATAAATATATCTCGAGAAGAGAGTCACGCATGCATAATAAGTGTTAATCAGTCAGATTTCAAACGCGCGATATTTAAAAAGATTTAAAGCAAAGCAATAATTTTTAAAATATTTTTTTTACAGATTATTAACCATTTCCCGAAATTGCACATGGACCTTCAGAAATTTGCTGTGGCATTCGAGGAATTAATCGAAGATGAGCCTAATATTCAGACTCAGAACGCTCTTAGGACGACTCAATTGTACTTGACGATGATGCTGTGCGAAGTTGAAAGTCACATTGTTGCCCTACCGTCTTTACGACTACCAACACGCGTGGAACGAAGTATCATGAACAGTATTGAACGAAACCCCGTCGATGACACAAGGAGACTCATCAGGGACTGGGGCGTACTTCTTAAATACCGAGACTACCTACATGCTTGGAGACATGTATTTAATTATTAGAAAGAAGAAAAAGAAGATTAGAGCACGGTTCACTCTTCTCATCTGGAGATGCACGAAGAGACGCATCAGCTATTGGAAAATATTTCCAAGCAATGTAAATTTATTTGACACCTGTTACTGCTACAGTCATAAAAACACGTCGCTATCTGCATAATTGTGCAGTATATAATGTTGATGCTATTGATAATAATTATTGATCACGTAGCGACTATTAACTTCAAAATTGGAAATTACGAATTTGCCTCAATTATCGTAGAAGTTTCTATAATTATTTATTAAAGTTATTATTTATTATCATATCTTAATTGAACATTTAGAGTACATAATATTTATTCTTGTAGATATAGTGGATTCCTTATTAATTATTTATTTATTCAAATTTATTACTTTTATGTAAAAATTGTACCTTTTAAAAGGTATTGTGTAACCAATATTACTCTCTCTTAGAGATTTTCGGTTGCATTTTGTGATAATCAGTCACATGGTGACAATCATTTTATTGTACCTTTGTGTGACAAGTGATTACTCATAACGATAGATTATTTATAAAAGACATTATTGGTAGAAAAATCTCAATCTTTTATACTTCACGCAGTATTATATATTTATAATTTTAGCAAAATGTAAAATATATTTATATTTGTATATCTAAGAACTTATTTATTATCTTTTTTATACCAAAATTTACAATAAAAATAATTTATTTTATATGTATTTACTTCTATGCGTTTTTATTGTATGTTACTGTAATATCCAATATCCACGTACCCATGTAGTTCTCGGGAAGATGTTACATCAGTGTTACATTGATGTAAGAGAGATGTCTCTACTATTCTTTTCTGATAGATTATTTTTAATTATAATAATATAAAATAAAATTATATTTTATATAAATATTGAAACTATATATTGTATGTAGTAAAAAAATTGTATATAATAATATAATTTATAGATTATATTGATAAAATGTACACTTATATCTTCGATAGAATTGCTCATATCATATGATAAATATTTTATAAACACATTAGTATTAAATATATTTTTTTTGATCAAAGCTTTTGCTTAAAAAAAAACAAGATTGTTAATATGTATGTACTACAATAGTCTGCATACTTTAAATAGTTTAAATAATATTTAGTTAATACAAAGTTTCGCTCGTATATTGTAAATACAACTAGTGATAGATAAAAAGGCCAACTTATTGAGCAATTATTAGAGTTGTTCTGTCAAATAAAATTTATTCCATGTATAAACAAAACATAAAACATTATGTGAAAGCTACAAACATTCTATACTCAAACTTAAACGAAAATTACAATTATTATAAAATAAACGTTTCAACCGCACGCGGTCTTTCTCAGTATTATATTACAGTAATTATTAAAAAATTCAAATTCATACAAAAATTCCACATAATATCGAAAATTAATGTTAGTCCTTCTAAGATTAAAAAAGAGTCTAAGAGAAATAAGAGTCGAGAATTTATAAGCAATTAAAGCGTGTTTTAATTCGTCATATCCAACAAATGTTCGCCTCGATATGATCTTTGATTTTAATCAAATCTCGAAAAGTTTCATCGTTAATATGCGAGAAATTAACGAAATTACGTTCCGTCCTTCTTGACAATTTTAATCACGTTTTTTTGAAAAAGTTATTGAAGATGACACAAGACAAGACCAACAATATAAAAAGATACCTCATTTCAAACTCTACTTAATCGAAGAATGTGTTAAATAATATTGTTATCTCTAAAAATATTGAAGATAATATAATTAAATTTAAAAATATATATTGTAATAATAATATATGCACACATATATATGTGTATTTATAAAAATCCAAAATAACGTTATAAGGAGAAACAATTACGAAAAAAATTAATGACATTATACAATCTAACAGAGATGCTTATAAAATGTTGGGATAATTATAATAATATGCAAAAAAATTGATTAAAAATTATATATTAAAACGTGTATTTAAAAATTATTGTATATTTTCCGTTTGCATTATTAAATATTATTTATAAAGAAATTTAATTTGTATTTGAGATATAAAAAATTAAAAAGTATATTTATTTTTAAAAAACCTTTTTCTTAAAAGCTTAGTTAATAAGGCTATCTTACTTGTTGACCCTATGTTTCATGAAAAAAACATTAATATTAATATTAATAAGCATATTTGTAAGTCAGCTCTCAATTTTTTAAAAATCCATATTCATCTCGACTAAGAGCCAAACGCGATGTTGCGACAAATTAAGATAAGAAATTTTTGGAAACTGAGGAATTTGAATCTATGATTGGGATCTCAGAAATTCCTTTGTTCCTTCTCTAAACATCCCTGTAAGAAAAGACGAGAAAAAAATATTGGTCCGAAATTAATATTAATATTGTAAAGAAATTCTTCTCAATAATTGTTACCCGTTAACTGTTATAAACAAAAATATTAATAAAAGACGCAGAACTATTAAATTCAGCAGTAATCTTAGCTCACAAAACCGTAACAAATTTGATGCGCGATTATGTGTTGTTTTACCTTACATAAAGAGTTTAAGCGAGAACATTACGCGTTGCATTAATGAAAATGTATGTGAGGTATTGTATGCGCAGTTCCAAAAAAATTAGACACACTTATAAAAAGAGGTAAAGACACACTTATAAAAAGAGATAAAGATAAAATCAATATTAATTTTGATTGATCTTTTTTTTAAACCAACTTTTCTTGCACAAAGCAAAAATTGCAGATAACTTTATGATAAAATTCATGAATTATGAAACAATTTCTACAGTAGGCACTTAAGTTCCGACTGAAGATACTTTATCGATAACAAATAATGCATCGACAGTAGAAACATTCAAACTTATCCGACAAACGCTACATCACACATAAAATTAATATTGTATTTCATTATTAAACATGTATAATACAAACAATTTCCACTATTTCTCATAAAATAAAGCAATAATTATACATTTTTGCAATATTAAAAAAAATAGGCATACTACAATAAACCATAATAATTAGATAAATTAGGAAACAAATATAATTATACATGTAAATAATTGCAATTATCAAAAATATGCATTTTTCCGAGAAAGTGTAAATACTACCAATTTATCATAAAGCATTAAGTAGAAAGATTCAAAGAGAAAAGTGCACTTAAATTTCTAGTGAAATACGTTCTGGTAAGAGAATGTGTGTTAGGTCGCCGGTCAAGTCATCACGAAATTATTCACTGTTATACAAGCAGATGCGCATGCATGTAGGTGGTAAAGGTAAAATGACGAGGAAATTGAAATAAGTGTGAAACGATTTGATGAGAGGAAACGAACACATTACGTAGTCACTCTCACTGCAGTAATTTAGTATTTTTATAAATATTTTACACAGTACTTCTTTAGTTATATATAATATATTATCCATATTTTATTTTACATATTAAAATCAATACAGAAGATATTTTGCTCCATAAATATTTCAAAATCAATTATAATGAACAAATAAATCTACGAAGTATATTGCTGAATATTAAATGTTACAATACGTAAATGCAATTATTATAAAAATATTTCCAGATATCTCTCTCTTTTAGAAAAGAATAAATTATTTTACACACACAATTTTTTAATTTATTAAGAATTTTTATTTTATCATATAAAATTATATAATATTTATGAATATTTATTTATTAATTTTTTTATTTTAAAAAGCTTAATTAACGCTTAATAACTCAATTATTAAATAAATTCCACAATTTGTTTACATATCTATTCATCCATACATAAAGCTTATTTGTATCACATAACCCACTTGTTTTGTAACAATTTGCATATTCTTTTTTTTTATCAGTGATAAAATTATTTTCCGCATACTCGTATATATGGAAATATCGTGCATCAATGAATGTAATTATGTATGGCATATATAATATTTGCACCTGTATATATAGATGTATAATGTTTTGTTAAAGAAAGTTTTTTTAATTTCTACATTTTTTTCAATAGAATTTTAATATACAATATATATTATACATCTATATATACTATGAAAAATTAATTACCAGTTCCAAAAAATCGAAAGGATAAGTATTTACAAACAAAAAGTATTTATACACTATTATCGTAATCAGTTTAAATATATATATGTATGTATGTATTTTGCTAATTATAATTGTTTCCCCTTAAACTGATTACAATAATAGTGTATAAGTACTTTTTGTTTGAAAGTACTTATAGAAATCGAAAAAAAGCCAGAATTTTAATAAATTATTATTATTTTCTTCTAAATAGTTTAGTGAATGTTAATGTAATTTTACAATTATGTTCCTTAAAGTCCAATTATACATGTAAAAAATTTAAAATACATGGTACCATTTTTTCGATATTTTTAACGTAATATAATCAATCAGAGTAACAAATTTTCACAAGATTATAGATATGTAAAATCAGCAGAAATTTGTACTTTTATTTAGCCAGTTTGGTCGAATTGAATAAAGTTAAAATTTAAAATATTAAATGTGTTTATTTTTATTTATTTAAAAAAAAGCAAAATATAGATAAACACTTGGTGCAATCGTACTTAAATAAAACTATGTGCATATTAATTGTTATTGCATTTTTAAGCATGCGCCTTATCGCTTATATTATGTATATGCAAATAGTTACTTCTACTTCATTATTATAAAAACTAGACACAATTGTTGTCCAAGGTAGAAAACTAGCTTGCGATGTAAACTCAAATGAGATAAGTGATTCTGCTTCATTTATTGAGTTGTATGAGTGTATACATTATTCCAAGTTCTCGAATAGCGTAAAGCAAGAAAAAAAATTTTGGTAAGCTCAAGATTATAGTACCATTTCACGATCAAATCTTGAATTCATAAAAAGTGTAAAGATCTTATATAATTCTTTTATTTTTTCAAAAAATTCTACAAGATATTTTATGTGAGAAATTTATTTCAGTTTCCTTCCTTTTTTTCTTAAGATATATATATATATATATATATATATATATTCCTGTATTTAATTATGGTACATTTATATAAAACAATAAACTATTATATATAATTACTGATGAAGTAACAATATCTAATAAGAGTGTCAAATTTTTGGGAACAGTTTTGTTTAAATATTAAGTGTTACGACGTAGCAGATCGTAAGTATCAAAATTTTGCATTTTTTATGTAGTTAAAATACTTGGTTTTGCTTTTTATTTTTTTTCAAAACGCAAAATAAATCATATAAAATTAAAATGTAATTTAATAAAAAACTCATGAAACACACACACACACACACAAAATATGAATAAATATTTTATGATAAAATTAATGTTTATTACTGTTTCAATTTTTTAAATCGTATACTACATTTTATAATATTTTTTAGAAACAGAATTAACTGTGTATTCAAAATTTTTTCTTTTGCAATTCATAATTTTTCGAGACTCGGTTATGTCAATTAAACAATGATAATGACAAAATGTAATAATGAAGCGCTATTGTGCAAACATATGTTTGATGAAGGATTAAAAATTTAATATTGGTTCAATGTTTTATATAAATGCTCATAATGTTATCAAATTTTTATTAAAAGGAATCTAATTATGCATTTTAAATGGTAGTTTTTAAAATTTTAAAGAAATATGACTCAAAAATAGAATCGAAAAAATTTATTTTTGTTGTATCTCTCAATTTGTCAATAAATACAAATTCCACATTTGAACGAGTTAATAGTACATGGTACGAATTACAAATAACCGAGAAATATTTCGCTGATAAAATATTCTCACCGACATTGGTTTCACATTTGAGTTTAATTGATGAAATGTATTTATATGCACACGTTATGTCAATCTTTATGTTATCACTAAAGTGTTTTTATAAAATATAAAATATTATTCAATATATATCAGTGAGAAAATATATAATAGTACTATAGTAAGTAATAATAATATAAATAGAGTATCAATGAAATTTTTTGCAAATGTATATGTATGTAAGATTCTAAATTCTACTTTAACAAATATCTATAGCAATTTATGCATTTATTTGATAATTCAAATTATTTAACATATTCACAGGCTACAAAAATGGACTTAATCTCTTTGATATTAAGCGCCCTGTTTGTTGGTTTAATAATTCCCGCAATTATATCGACAGTGTATCATCAGTATATTCTTCGTCAAAAGCTCAAAAACTTGCCTCAAAAAGGTGGATTTCCATTTGGCATGATATTCGAATATATAAAACGAACAAACTATGGTAAAAAATTTTGTGAATAAGATATTATATATATATACTTTTACAAATGTTATTAATATAATTTTAGCAAAATAATTTAACACTAAATATTCGTCATTTAAATCCGTATAATATAATTAATAAATATTAAATATCTTATTATGTGCTTATCCACAGAACGCTTACTATTGACTAGGCAAAATATGTTACATTTTAAAGAAGGCATTTTCGTAAATTGGTTTGGCATAAAGCCGTTTATTAATCTGTATAAACCTGAATTATTAGAGGTAAGAATGAAAAGATTTTTATTAATGTATTAAAATATTGGTTATATTATGTTATTTACGAATTATAGATAATATTTTATTATGTAGAAAAGCAAATTTTTTTTACAACAATGAAATAAAACAAACTTAAAAATTTATTATAAAACATTATTATATAATTCTTATTAAAAAGTATAATTATTATTCTTATTATATAAAAAAGTTTTTCAATATAATTACACGGAGAAAATTATTAGTTGTCAGCAATACTATATTATTGCGCTATACTGTATAGATATAAAAAAAACGATCAAATTATTCAATATTATAGCGAAATTTTTAGCATAATAGCAATTTTGAGAAAGAGGCATTTTATACAGCTAATGTAATAAATTATTACATGCACAGTTATATTCATTTTAACTCATATTTACAGATTATTTTGCCCAGTACCATGTATATTGAGAAAGGAAATCCCTATAAGTTTCTGGATTCTTGGTTAGGCAAAGGACTTCTCACTTCTACAGGTAAACACATAAATAATCTTTTACTAATCTTTTAAATTTTAAATAATCTTTTTTTAAGCTTGCTTAAACATATTAATTAATTATTAATAAAGCATTTTAATAATTATTTAATTATCTAATTTTTAAGTTATTTATCAATGTAAAGAGCCTTACTTTAGTATTATTATTTAATTTGTATTAATTATATTTAAAAATTCACATTTTTAACAGCTATTAGCTGATTTCTGTCAAAAGATTAATGAAGTTCAATTTTTATTAATTTTTTTAATATTAATCTTTTTAATATAAAAGTGCAGAATGGCGCGCGCTTGTGTTGTTCTAGTACGATAAAAAAAGTGTGACAATATGTGCATTTATATATATTTTATATCTCTTATAATATTTTTAACACATAAATGTTGATTGCTACTACTTCAGGGAAACAATGGTTCCATGATAGAAAACTCATCAGTCCAACGTTCCATTTTAATATATTGGATAAATTTGCCATAGTTATATTAGAAAACAGAGATTCTGATAAAATGTCTCGAGAGAGAATAACAACAATCCAGGCGTTTATTAACAAAGCTGCTCTTGATGTTATATGTTAAACTGTATATGTATAATATTAATTAAAATATATGTTTGTGGAAAGTAATGCGTGCATTTTTTTAAAAAGAATTTATTGATCGCATAGGTAAAACAACTTAAAATTGTTCGAAGTATGACCCTTCTGCGTAATACATTTTTGCCAACGCGATTTCCATGCGTTAAGATTTCTGGAACTCCTTGACTGGGATGCTGTTCAAAAGTAGCTTGTACGTTGTTCGAGCTGTTGTCCTTTGACTCCCTTTTCAGCCGAGGAAACAATGGTTATCCACAGAGTTGCTTGAGTTCTTCACAAACTTCACTCGGTGTTGCCGCATCGGTCAACACTCTGGGCATTTTTTGCGCAAATCTTCCGCATAAGTCTTCCGATGCAATAACAATTTTTCGGCAAGTTCAATAATTCCGACATTAAGCGAACATTCATTTCTGAATTCAATAATTGAACGAGTCACATTGATGTTGATTGCTCGATAAAATGTGCCATCTGTTTGAGAGAAAGGCAATCAAAAAAGCATCAAAAGGCGGCGTCTTGTCCAGCTTCACGCAATTTATCGCATAGCGTTGCTCTATCGTTCTATCACAAGTTCGACGCGACCACTAAGCTTCACAGCTCCTTCCAAGATGGAAACAATTATATGGAAAGCTGGTATTAAATCGCTCTGTGTATATGCGTCATGCGAATTACTTAAAACTATATATATATATATATATAATTTTAAGAAAATTATTGCTGACACAATATATTTTATGCTGCAGCAAATTTTATCAGTTATAATATAAATAATTTATTTTTTGTCAAAACTATTAAATATTTAAATTTCATTGAATTGACAAGTTCTTTTGTTGTAATAATTAATTTATTGCTCATCTATATTGTTTATTTCGTTATCATAGCGACAGTGAAAAATATTTTTACTGAAAAAATAAATATTTTACTTCAACATTAGATGTGCTTCTACAATTAAATTAAATCAGCACACAAGATCTTTTTGTACCGTTGAGGAAATAAATTTTTGCTGTAATATTGAATAATTGACTATAATATCAAATGTCGTTCATTACTACAAAAGTTTATCAAACGTATAATATTGTATCAATAATTTTTGCTGTAATGACGAAATTCTCCTTTTGTATATATGTATGATAACGAATTATAATGTCGATAAAAATTGGATGGGCTTGATTGCTGATGTTGTATATATAAATCAATACGAAAATCATATTAAATGTTTAGCACAATGTTATATCATTTAATTTAATTCCAACTAAATTTTTAATTCCAATTAAAGTTTATTCTCTTTGTCGTACATATTTAAATATAAGTAAAATTTTATATTCCTGTATAAAATAAACTTAACTTTATTTGATCCTATATTTGTAAAAATTATAAATGTCATTTTTATTTCTTTTTTTTCTGACAATAATGTAGCATACTTTGACAAGAAAATTATGATGATAAGTCATTATTATTATTTGCAGAAACAGCAATGGGTGTGAATATACGCGCTCAAGAAGTTGAAACCAAATATACTGCAACAATACATAGGTTCGGAAAGTCATGAGATGCATATTTCATTGCTAATAAGATAGTTAATAGTATTAATGATTTATTAAGAAGATTTTTTTTTAATTTAACAGCAAATTTTGTATGATTAATTATATTGTTTAATGTTTTAATCGTACTTTAGAAGCTCCAAATTACTAATGGATCGATTTTTTCGACCGTGGCAATGGCCAAATTGGTTATACGTCTTAATGCCTATAGGAAAAGAATATGAATCAGGAATTAATAACCTACATAAGTTCACGAGAGAAGTATGCGCAAAAAGAAACGCTAATTGATACATTATAATATATTACAAATATCGACAAAATTTTACTAATAATTTATTCATACTTTTATTTTATTTCAAGAAATTCAACAAGTTTATAATAAATTTTAGGTAATAAATAAAAGAAAGATTGCACGACAATTGCAAAACGATTCCGCCAAATCGGAAAACAAAGATGATGAATTTAATATAGGTGATTATTAAATTACCGTTATACAATTATTGGTATACACGTTTTGAAGGATTGTGTGAATATTTTTTGTAAATTATTCTTGTAAAATTTATTTCGTCAGGTAAACAAAAGAGGAAAGCTTTTCTGGATGTGTTACTAGATCAGAATGAGAAGGACGAAACTCCGTTAACCGATGATGAATTGAGGGCACAAGTCGACACATTCATGTTTGAAGTGAGAATCTTTATAATTTAACGCGAAACTCCGTTTTATTATTAGATTCGGCAATGTAATTATAAATGAATGTCAGTATAAAATAATAAGGATAATGATACAGGGTCACGACACAACTGCGGTTGCGATAAGCTGGACGCTTTTTCTCTTGGGCAATAATCTCGATCAGCAGGAAAAAGTTCATAAAGAACTCGAAGAAGTTTTCGAAGATTCCAAGACACCAGCCAGCGTAAAGAAGCTGTCGCAATTAAAGTATCTCGATATGGCCATAAAGGAAAGTCTTAGATTATATCCCAGTGTACCCATAATATTAAGACAATTGTCGCAAGATATAAAACTGAGTATGGCTTTATTTTTATTAATATTTAGATTTTAAAAAATCTTCAGATATTTAAATTTATAAAATTTGCAATAAAAACATAATATTTTCACTTAAATAATGCAGAAAATGTATTTCTATTTAGAGAAATATATTTTTTTTATTTATTAAATAAATGATTCAACAAAAAGGCACTTAGTTCAAAATCCACTTTAAATAGTCTTTTATGCGCAACAGAATTCAGAATAAAATTCCACTTAGTATTATATGTCTGATTTGTAAACTTTTCAATTATTTTTATTGACTATATAATATAAAAATTGCATTCTTCTTACAAATTATTATATACAACTTGTTTGACATAGGTTTAACATTATATTGTGAGTTTTACATTAAAATCAATATTAGATCAATATAATCTATAACAATCTGTTTCATTTTAGGTAATTATACACTCCCGAAAGGTGCTACAGTTTCAATACAAATCGCATTTATGCATAGAAATCCTCAAATTTGGCCAGATTCAACAAAGTTTGATCCAGATCGTTTTCTTCCGGAAAATTCGAAACATAGGCATCCATATGCCTACATTCCATTCAGCGCTGGACCAAGAAATTGTATCGGCAAAAGATTTGCTTTACTTGAAGAGAAAATAATATTAACAGCTATTCTGAGAAAGTGGAGATTGAAAAGTGTAAAAGCGACAGAAGCTGTTCAGTATGAAACCTCTATCATTTTACGACCATGCGAAAAAATATTCATCCATTTTACGCCAAAGAAATAATCAATTTATTAGTAAATATCTATTTCTCTTTATCGTGCGTAATCTTTATAATCTTTTTCAATCATGAAATTCGAATATTTTTATTATTATTGCCGTTGTGCATAGCATTTACATTATATACGTTATACTCTTTTACGTATATGTATAGTGATTAAATAATACGAGGTATTTGTCAAATATATTGTATGGCCAGTAAGAGTTAAAAGAATATAAATGATTTATATAAATTTATTTTTTGTATCGTTGATTGCTTTGATTTTAACTTATTTTTAAAAATTATCTGAAACGTTGGTCGATTTTCGACAATTCTGTTTATTCTATTATATTGTACTTATACTTTTCTCTAGCTCTTCAACGCAGCTAATCAATTTGATTAAAAATCTTTTAAAGGAAGCAAGATAACTAATCGTAAGAAAGCATGCTAAAAACAATACATAAACTGTTGAATAATATGAATAATACGAATTCAAAATTGTCGTGGAATTAATCTATTATAATTCTCATCAACAATAAAAAATATATACCGTTAATTTTAATTAATCAATATATTAGTTTTTTAATAAATTTTTGTTGAAGTATTATCAATCATATCTGATAATAAAATTCAAGATTGTAAGCAAAAATTTAAAATAGAGAAGCAGTGATTCTCTATAGAATCACGAAGTCTATCGTTTATTATTTGGCAAGAAATTGTTATCGTGGGATAATCAACTTTTCATTGTAAGAATATCATTTATATCTGGTAGAAATACCTAAAAATATTAATAAAATATAAAAAAAATATATAATATATAATATATGTATATATATACTTCATATATATACTTTATATATATATACTTCGAAGAAATAATAATCTTAATTGTTAAAACCAAAAATTAAACTAAGAAAAGTCTTTGTATCTTGCGTCGTCAATTAAAGAATAGGAATCATTGATATTAACTTATGTAAAGTATTGAAGAAATCTTCCGTAATAAGTATCAATAATATCGAATCGCGGTCATGGCCTTATTCGACCGATCTTATGTCTGAAAAGCGAACACGAGCTATTTAGAATGACGCGTCGTCAATCAACAACAATGGTCACGCTGACGTTGACGTCGTTGCCAACATGTTGCCTCGTAGAAGAGGACGTGCAGTAATCTTTGTCATTATAATTCGTAGTACCGCCCATAAAGACAGCTTGGCGTCACGGAATCGCGCAATAATCTCGACGTTCATACCGTGTGAAATTGCCGGAAGGTTCTTACCTTCACTTAACGTGAATCACGCCTGTGGAATTATGCCCGTAAGTTTGTCACATATGAGAGGAACTTTGTTAAATTTAAAGTGTTAAATATTATTGTAACGATACGTTTAATCAATTTTTACTCCGATTAAAAATAAATAAATTGTTACACAGCAAGTAACGTAAATTGAAATATATATGTTAAAAGTAAAATAGAAAATAAAATTTCTATAAATAATTAAAAATGCTATATAAATTAAATGTGATTAATTTTTACAACATTTTCCAGGATGCATTTAAATATATCTATATCTTTATGTGGCATTTAAAGTTTAGATAAAAATCAAGCGAAATGCACGCTATTCCTAGTACTGTCCCTGACGTTAGCATTTAATCTAAACATTAATGTCTAAAATTAATATTTTATACAATTTCTGTAATTAAGATAGCTCTTGCATGAACAAAGAGCTGTACAATTAAAATGCTTTATTCTTTATTAGATTATTGAATTCTAAACGAATCTAGAAACGCAAAGTTCAAATATCATCTGCATAATACTCAAATATATTGACATGAAATACCACCCATTCTATCATTTCATCGTACGTTTACATCTGTCAGTTGTACGGAAACGTTTCAAGACGCAATCTCCAGGTGGTCCCTTCCTATACGTCTAAGAATGAGAAAGCTTATCTATGATTGCGCCTATACCATGAATGGCGCGTGTCGTCACATAACTAGACATCATAAATCTTCTACATATATAAACTTATAAATTTTAGTTTTATTTACCAACCTAAATCTCGCATTGCATTTTCAGAAACTATTATAAATATATATGTTACTACAATAATTAATTCCAATTTAACAATTATATACGAAGACTATGTCATATTTGTAAGTACGTGAATCTATAGTTGTAATTAAATCATAAATATAACTTCATCGATCATAATTATAAACTTTTAGTGTCTGATCTGACAAATAGCGTGAAATCATGAAAATAACCATTTGGTAGTCATTAATCTTACAGTATTACAATTTTACAGTATTTATGTATGTGTCTATGTATATTAATTATTTTTAATATGTAAGTGTAATTGTATTATAATTATTATATATATATATATATATATATATATATATGTATATAATTATAAATATTCAACAAATATCTTCTATACAATCAAGTATCTTCTCATCACGGTATATAAATTTTTTAATTTGATCAGACATCAGAAATATATGTCGGATAAATGTTATACTTATGTCACCGATTAATTTCGCAATAGTGCTGCCATTCGTGTGGCAAATAAAAATGTGTGCCGCAGTCTGTGGATAACTCTGGAATCCAGAAACTGAGAAAATGCCGGTAGTCGGTGAATCGAGTTCCGACTCAATAAAATAGCCGACAGTGTAACCTGTAGGTCAGGAATCTCGATAAAAATTCTCCGGAAAGTTTCTCCTAACTGTAATTACTATCAATTAATTGCGCAATCTGCCTACGTTATAAGCTAAGTGATCCTTCTTTTCATTGATCCAGATTTTTATAATTCTTATATCTGTCTACGCTTATTATTAAAACGAGATTGTAAGAAATAGAAAAATTATAAGAGAATCATTAATATTATCACACTTGATATTTATCAAAAAATCGCTAGTAGCCTGTTACAAATATTTATTTCGGCGATTGTACTCTCTTTTTTAACATCACAACTGTCAGAAAACCTAATAATCATTACAACTATAATTCGGTTGACCGTACAATAACTTAAAAAAATCAGACTTGTTAATTCTGATGTTCTTCTGATCTATCAGTAGACTACAAAATAAACGAAAATAAGAGATGTCATAAAACATACATACAAAACAATAGATGCATCGAGAGAGATTGGAGGAGTGCCAACTGTAAAGGTTTCCTTTTAAATGTCGATTCGGTACAGCTGAGATGCTCACATACAATGTATCAGATTCTCGCTCTCGTCGGAATGCGCCTCACGTATTCGTCTGTTGCCATTGATTTCTCTGATTTTCAGCTTTTTGTCCTCGTAAATGCGATTTATTGCGCGATCGAATAAGAAACTCAGGGAAGTGCATCGAGACCGTCACGTAGATATCGTCTGCAAGCGATGCACGTACAATTATTACGCGTGATCCCTCATTATAGATAAACGAGTCGATGCATTATCGATATATTATCTTATTAATCGATTAGCTGTCATCGACAATATTATCTAATAGCAATATTGTCTAGTGATATTATTTCTGCCGCTTATTATACCGATATATTCTTCTCGATAGATCCTAATTAGTCTGATCATTCATATTCTATCCTGCATATTAAAAACATTAGAAAAATGTTCGCAGGATTAATTATAAAAAATGATAATTCTACAGAATAAAAATTGTTATAATGTAACAATAAGTAAATGCAATTTTTATTTAAAAAATGTCTACTTTTAAACTAAAAGAAATTATTTTACAAAAAAAAATTACAAATACGACAGCAAGAATAAAAAGTATACAAGCATATTGTTAATTTGTTATAATTAGAAAAGTAAGAATTTAAAAATGTTGTGTCTAATATTTTTATATTTATATAAGCAGGTATGTTTTTCGCAAGTAAAAATTATACGTCTCTACACGCGAACTGCAATAATTAAACATAGAATGCTCATGAATATGCCAGCAGAATCAGTAGTATTAGCGTGTTATTTAGTCACGTATCGTCCCGCGAATTATGTTCGTTTCGGCTAAAGATTAAAAAATAATTAAGATACTTGCGTGAGATAACTGTTAACCGCATCTGATTATTACGCGATTGAACGTTTAAGTTGAAAGCTATCAGTTAAGAATTTCACGGAGTTGTTTCTTGCGAATGTACAGGTACGTCGGTATACGATTAGTATGCTTCGCGCGTTAGCAACGCCGAGAGGAAAATACGTTCCCGCACGTGAGCACAATTATGCAAACTTATCGGGAGAGGAACCATGTAATAAACAAAGATCGCCCGTGTCTTTTGCGCTCAGGTAGGCGATCGCAGAACCGAGCATCGCGGCTGAAATTGTATTTATACTTTAGCACTCGAGTCAGCACGCGGGTGAAAGACAAATGAAAGAGGGAGCGTTCTGGCATTTGGGACGGCGATTGTTGCAGAATGCAGGGGCACGCGAGCCTCTTAACTCTGATATCTGTTTCGTGCATTTTCTTGTCCTCCGCAAAAGGTGGCGTCGTAATATCATCATTATGATAATAAGATACTTGTCGGATAGACGCGAGCGCGGAGGCATCGACCCGCGTTCTGTTTTCAAGGAGAAACTAGGAAGCGAATCGAGCCTTCCTTTTTATTCGCTCAACGAACGACGACGATCGATCAAGTTGTACTATATCAATAGCGGCTGCGCTGATTTACTAGCGATAATTTTGTCAATTGGATGTGCACGCGAGAACTAAATGGAAAAGACGCTTCGCTACCTATATACATACGTGAAAGCCTGGCTAATGAAGGAAGCAGTTAAGTTTGGTAAGAAAAAACGCGGACCGCGCGCGCGTCTAGCAATTTGAGGCATCGTGTATATCACTTTGTCCGTGATTATATCTTTCTCTCTAGTAATAAACGAAATTTACTCGGCACAGTAAGACGAATTTGTCTCATTAATCGTACTTTCACTTTCACTCAGCTGACTGATGCATACTAGAATCCTTCTGTTTCCAAGACAATATAATTGTGTGTGTTGAAATTTATCTCAGTAATTATAAATTATTCATAATTTATTTCATTAAATTCACCTGCCAAGAGGCTTCTTTGTTGGAGTTTATAAATTCGGGCTACTGGTATTTAAAGCTATAAAGTGTCACGGTTTGACACGAGGTCTGTACATCTGACATCTCAATCTCGCTACAAATAAAAATATTATATATCGCGTTAAGTATTGCGCATCTTTTATGAGTTTACAATTAGTTTTTATGCTCGTAGCATCACCAGATGACTCGTGAGCAAA